AATTCACCAAGTTTTGGTTAAGAGAATTTTTACATTAAGGACTGCTTAAAACCTGATTCACTTCTTACGTGAAGAGCATCTCACTGCTGGGGGGAAAATGCATCATAGAGGAAGGCTGCACATGTATTTGATATGCATACATCCTCAGGGAAGCTGCAGCCAGTTTTGCCTGGAACAAAGCAGATGGCTGCGTGATGACTAGTGATTCATACGGTTTGCACGCCTTCCCTGGAGAGAATGGTTTTGTGTGCAAGAAGATGGTCAAGTGTGAAGCAGCCCTAAGAAAGCAACATTAAACCTCTTTTCAGAGGTCGCATATGTTATAGACATACAAGTGATTTGATTCTAAGTATAGATTACATTCAGTATCAACCTGTGACCTCTTCAAGAACAAGCCTACAGGTAAAATAATGCTGGCCTGTTTAATACATTCATGTCATTGCCTTGCTTGCAAGACCTTTAACCAAAATAATAAAAAGATATCCATTTGGTATTATCATATTCTGGTCCTTTCTCATTTCAGGTTAGTGAACTGTATTGTTAAAAGCATGTGGACCCTTCTGAATTTGTTGAGACTTTACCAATACAGGCTTCATCTTTGCCTCAGTGATCATTGTTTCAAATTGTTCTTGTGTGATGTAGAAGGCAGGCGTATCTAAGGTTCTTCCACACAATCATATAAAAAGTAATACTAAGTGGAGCTCCTGGGCTGAAAATGCACATTCCTACACAAATCCGTGAACAGGAAGTATACTAGCAGAAACCTGCCAAGTAATTATTTTTTCATTGCACGTAGTATAAACACCCGAAGGTGCAGTGGTCAGAGTTTCAGACTATGATCTGGGAAATCCAGGTTCAAATCTCGCTTTCTCACGGAAGCCGGCTGGGTGACCTTGAGCTGGTCGTACAGCCTAACCTACCTCCGCGGGTGGTTCTGAGGATAAAGTGGAGGAGAGAATGAGCAAACCACTTTAGATCCCCACTGGGTAGGAAGGCAGGGTATAAGTGAAGTAAATAAATAAATTATACCAAGTCAAACAATTGGTCCATTTCGCTCAGTGCTGTCTCCTCTGATGGCTGGTGGTGTCCAGGATCTCAGAAAGAATAATTTCCCAACATCTTCTACTTAAAATTCCTCAACTAGAGATGTCAGCAGTTGAACCTGGGGCATCCTGTTTCCAAAACATGTACTCGCTCACTGAGCTGTATAATAAAAACACGAGCATGCTCACAAAATGGTCCCTCAAATAAAGGTTAAGGACTGAGTGAAGGAATTGTGCAACTTTCTTTCAGAAATTAGATCACAGCTTACACTAATGCTTGTGGTACCCCTGCAATCACATATTTACAAAAAATTAAAATGCACGACTTAGAAGATGTATTACATTTTTCTATGTACAGAATATAGTGCTTGCTCAAAAGCTGATTCAAAAGCATTCATTTCAGGGAAGATGTGCAAACTGTCTACTAAAAAGTTAGTCCCCCAAACCCCTGATTGTGTGAAAAGGACCTTAGTTTAGTACATAGCCTATCACTATTTTTGTACCTTTTGGCCAAGGGTCTATAAGTCTCAGCACCTGAAATTTTAAGAACTTAGTGCAAACATCAAATATACAAGATTTTGAAAGTTTTATATTTGCAATAAAATGGCAACTCTTTGGAAACTTTCACAGATTAAAATCACGTTATGCAGGTATTAAGGTCAACCAACATAATTTGGAGGGAAAAAAAACCCTAGTTATCCCTAGAACACCAGTATTCATCAAGCATCTTGTAGACTGCCCAGTGAACACCCAGGCTTTATAACTAATTGTAGCTCTTACATAGCTTCTACCAAATAAAAATTAAGGTATTCTTTAAAGAATAAGGCAGATTCTGTATGGGTACCAAAAAACCCCCCAAATAACCTACACTAAAGTAAACAATTGTTCATTTGAAATATGCTACATTTACAGCATTATACTTAAGATATAATCAACAGGTATGAAAATCATTATTATTTTCCTTTTCAACTTCAATATATTATGTTTTTCATTATTTGTAAACAGCTCTTTCAGAAAGTAAAAAAGTTGCATGATTAACACTTTGTTCTGAAATGCAGTTTTGGCAGGTGCTTCTTAAGTTGCAGGTATACATTATCTGTATAGATCATATTAAATGTGATGCACTGGATGAATAACTACTTTCACAAAACAGCTTGCACACCTTAAATATCTGAAAAAAATTATGTATGGTGTGAGGAAGAACTATTAATAAAGTATGGGATAAGCATCAGAGAAGCCAGAATGATCTGATTAATAGAGTGTGGTGGGATGCAAGTAAACACCATCTAAATATTAACTGCAATATGAAGACCAGATTGTACTTAACTGATTTCATCTCAGCATATTTTTGCACCAAATATTGGTGCAAATGAACATAGAGCATTACATGGCTTTTGGGTTTTGGTGCAAAGAAGTTCATTCTGGAACAATTCAATGCCTGCTTAAGCTACATGACATTAAAATCACCTACCGTGTTTTCCCGAAAATAAGACACTGTCTTATATTTATTTTTTCTCAAGAAAACACACTAGGGCCTATACCACAAATGCATAGAAATCCTGCTAGGGCTTATTTTTGGGGTAGGTCTTATTTTCGGGAAAACAGGGTATTTCTGAACCAGGCCATAAAGCATGGATTAAAAAATCTGCAAACTGGAGCCAGGGACAGACAGGCGAGATTTCTCTGCAAACCTAAAGGAAGCCCCAGCTTTGCAGAAAAAAATCTGCAATCTTAAAAAAAAAAAGGAAGGGGGATTAGAACACAAAATAATAGAAAAACACCTCTAGCTTTAAGAAAAATGCCTACTAAGTCTAGTTTCTGAGATCTCAGTGGTCACTTTGGGAGTGCCTAGGCAGCCACAACAATATTGTCTAATCTCCCAAACCCTGGAATCTGTAAAGCAAAGTTGTAAGGGGGGAGCAGGGCTGGACTGGGAGGCCAACAGCCTTAGATGAGCTCCTATCCCTTTCCCTATCATGTCTCAGATGGAGGAGAACTCATTGGGGACAGGCCTGGTAGCAACTACAGAAAATACTACCCACACAACGTCTCTAGGCCCAGTGGCTGCTGGGAAAGGAGGAAGGGAAGCTGAAAATGAGGGAGCAGATAAAGGCATGGTGGGTGGGTGAGTTGGAAGGAAGGAAGCAGGAATAGGAGAGATGCTTTGGCGGCTGCTGGGAGAGAGAATAGCGGGGGGGGGACATACAGGGAAAATGAAATGCCCCCCACAAGTCCTTGCAGGTTCCCTGCTTATATTTCTATAATGCAAATAAAATCCAAGCTGTTGACTTAGTGAAACATAAGCATATTGCTTGCATGCAAAGGAGTCCCACTAAGATCAGTAAAGTCCTGTTTTCTCCATTCCCCCACCCATGCAAGCATGTGCAAGCATCGTAAGAGGGCACCGCAGGGGTCTATGTATGCCTTCAGCATGCCCATTGAGTCCTACTTCTGTGTGCAATGCATTTCACTTGTGCAAGTTGAGACCAATCTCTACAATGCCATGTTGTCCTGCCTCCATGAATGCCCATAAATTCATGGTGGTGCTGGTGGGTAGAAGATGAAAAAAACCAGAAATCTATTGAGACCAGTAAACTCTTCCACACAGAGGTGCTGTGCCTATTCAAATAGACTGAGCCTTAGTATTTAAAATGGCCAACTTTTTTCTGGTATATAAACAGTTTTATAAAGCAAGGGTTCCTGAGGTGGGTCCCAATCCAAACAATTGATTTTCAAGGATGTTCATTAACTCTCATTGCTTGGGGCTTAATTTGGATTATTCTATAGTCTGGTTTTTTTCCTTCATGGGACACGAATAGCTCAGTGAAAGTACAAAACAACAACTACTCTGAGAAACAAGAGAATGCTGGTGCAAATGAAAGGCACCCATTGCAAAAATAATTCAGGCGATTTCTGCTGTGTAAAACAAACTAGAAGACTGATTACTTTAAGACACCTCTGCTTGTACTAAAGACTGGAATAGTTTCAGTGAAGTTTAAATACACTGTGGAGACTATGCATATTTAGGCTGTCTAATCAGATACTTTTAGAAACAGGTATCTGCGTGGTGCTTAGTTTGTTGTTGAATCCAATTTCATATGTGTTGCAAAGGGGGGGGGGAGACGATCTCTTATTGAGGAGAGAAGCTGGTTCAACAACCCCTTCCCTCCAAATGTAGACTATCTGAATGGAGAGAAGCTGGTTCAACAACCCCTTCCCTATCTGAATGTGAATCTGTGGATTCAGGCCAATAACTGAAACACAAGTGGGTGTAACAAACCTTTTCCAACAAACCTGCATGTGTGCATGATGCCTGCCATACATACATTCATTAATTTGTTCAGGCTTATGAAGTAAACTTTTAAACTTCTGTGGAAATTTTGCCAAAACAGTGTCAATACATATAAAATTACAAACCTTAAGCTAACACTGAACAGAAAGTGAACAAAGATTACATTTTTAACACAAATATCTATGTTTGTCATTTCAAACCCCTGAGTTACGCCGTACCAAAAGTACAGAATTGAAGAGAAATGAACAGCATTCCTCAGCATATTATCTTCAAATAATTCCACATCCTCAGTGTGAATTTCATGTAACACATTCAAGATGACTGGTGCCAAAAATCATTTTTCTCCTGTTTAGCATAGTATGAAGAGACCAGGAGAGCTTGTCATCCACCAAAACGTTGTTCTCCATACCATGGGTCACAACATGTATGCCTCTGTGTTAGCTTCTGTAACAGTGCCCCATTAGGAATTAACTTGAATCAACATGTTCTTTCAATCACAAAAGAACAGAAAAACATGTAAAGATTTTTGGCAAATCCTCAGAGTAGTGAAGATAAATATTGGTTGCACTTTGCTCCACAGTGATTGTACTTTAAATGAAAGAAGGAAAATGACACAATACAATTTGTCATGCTCTCTTCTTCTCCTCCTTTGTCATTTTGTTTCTTTATATATGGCGTCCAGTAAGAAAATAGAGTGGTTTATCGTCACTGCTGTTAGCAGTTTGAAATTCATCTCTAAGACGAAACTGCCATTCATCTTCCAGCTCTAAACGGACTATTGTTTGACGCAAAGAGCTCCTGTCTTGGCAAATTACACACAGGGTTGCACCTTAGGTTAAAGAACAAATCACAAAAGTTTAGAGTGCCATAGGTCTTTCATATTGTTAATTTGTTGAAATCTCTCCCCATTGCTTAGAATAATTTCCCATACTGAGTTACTGTAGTGCTCAATTTGCACTACTACAACATGCTATTGCTCCTAAACACAGAATCTGCTCTCATTTCCAAGCATAATTCATGGACCATTTTATCTAACATTAAACTATCCCCCATTATGAGGATAACAAGATAGCAGTCATTAAGGGTTAGACAATGCATTTAAGTTTAAGTGGCTTTGAGTACATATACAATAGCAGCGTGCACTGTGCTTAACGGAGACATCACACGGCTGAGTGTCTGGGATGGATTTGGCCTTCAGCATCCCACCAGCTTATTGGGCACCAGCTACCATGATGTAAATTTTAAAGGCGCTAAAGAAATAAGGAAGAAGGTAGTGGTTTCCATTACCATTGCTGTTTCTTTGTTGATGTTGTGACTGTTAATAGTTTATATATGTGTTGCCCATACTAGCCTAGTCAACCCTATTAGAAAACCATCATATCTTATCAAATGAAAGCACAAAAGGTTTACACATTACCTTTCAGGAATTTGAACTTCTTAAGAAAATCTGCGCCTACAAAGGAGTCACAAAGGTATAGGAGAAGTCCACTAAAAAATACCCCTTCAGAGTTGACATTAACAGAATGTGGTCGTGAACTGATGTAGCAGAGAGCTACCTAAACAAACAATAAAGGGGGGGGGGGAAAATAACCTTATTTACATTGTAGTTTTTTGTCTTTCAATGTTCTTAATCCTTTAAGGCACACAATTGAGAGATACTGTTCATAATGCCTACTGTTCATTTTAAAAAATAGTCATTTTCCTAACAAAATAAATTTGTCCTATACAGTAAGTGTCCATGCTGTGAAAGTAGCAATTAATAATAATGAATTAATTAATTGTAGGAACCTAAATAATAATATGAATGTGACTTTAAAAACTGAGGGAAAATTAATTATAACAATGGATACATTCAACAAAAGGAGTGCTAGCAATACAATAATATAGAAGGCTGATACAGTAAATTCAGAGAAATCAGAAGGAAGAAAACAAAGAAGCATGCAGGGATGTATCAACAAAACATGTTCACATAAAAACGATGGAAGAAGAAAAATTCAAGTCAAGTAAAAAAATAGCATTCCAGTAAAGTTATCAGCAATTCATAACTAGCCACAACAAAATTACATAAGGATTGTAGAAAAGCAAATCTAAGTGGAAAATATGAGAATAAACATTTGAAACAATATTGTCACAGATAGCTTATGAAGTAAACCCAGAGAAACCATTAAAATTGAATAAATGTTACAAGAGGTGAGAGAAAGAATTTATTGGATGACTACTAAAAATTTCATGGGTAATAAAAATAATTCTTCACAAACGGAAACTAAGGACTCATGTAAAATCAATATACAGTTGTCTTGTCATGTTCACAAGGAGTGAGGGATAAGAAGCAGATTTTTTTTTTAGAAGATCTGATTATTTGTAAGAATTCTAGATATATACCTCTGGCCCAATGTTCAGGTAGCAGTCAATAGCAAGGACAGGGCTCCTGAAGTTATGGATAGCCTTTGGGAAAAGCTTATATGTGGCATGTTGAAGGAACTTCTCTAAGAGGAACTGAGCGGGAGCTGCCAGGAGTGTGTGCTCACTGTCTGGAGCACAGACATATTGAAGAGGCATTACTGGAGTCAAGTTCTCTGACACCTACAGAGAAAACAATAGGCAAAAATACAAAGTAAGAAGTAACATTCTAATCACCACAAAGCAACAACAACTTTTACACACGACAACAGTAAGAAAAACAATAGCATTTCAGAAAAAAGAATGTCAGTCTTTGGAATCATGGAATCATAAAGTTGGAAGGGACCTCCAGGGTCATCTAGTCCAACCCCCTGCACAATGAAGGAAATTCACAAATACCTCCACCCCCCACACCCCCAGTGACCCCTGTTCCATACCCAGAAGATTATAAAAAAATCCAGGATACCTGGCCAAACTGGCCTGGAGAAAAATTGTTTCCTGATCCCAAAGTGGAAATCAACATTTCCCTGGGTGTGTAAGAAAGGATCGTGAGAGCTAAGCACTGCGGCAACCCTTCCTGCCCTCCCTCCCTAGCCATCTAGCCTCTGTTTGAAAACCTCCAAAAAAGGAGAGCCCACCACCTCCCGAGGAAGCCTGTTCCAGAGAGTCCACCATCTCCCGAGGAAGCCTGCTCCACTGAGCAACCGCTCTAACAGTCAGGAAGTTCTTCCTAATGTTTAGCCAAAAACTCTTATGATTTAATTTCAACCTGTTGGTTCCGGGGCAACAGAAAACAACTATGCACCATTCTCTACATGACAGCTCTTCAAGTACTTGAAGTTGGTTATCATATCACCTCTCAGTCGTCTCCTCTCCAGGCCAAACATACCCAGCTCCTTCAAACTCTGCTCATAGGACTTGGTCTCCAGACCCCTCATCATCTTCATTGCCCTCCTCTGGACACGTTCCAGCTTGTCTATATCCTTCATAAATTGTTAGGTGAGGTCTAACCACAGCAGAGTAAAGTGATAATCACTTCACGTGATCTGGACACTATACTTCTGTTGATACAGCCCAAAATCACATTTGCCTTTTTAGCTACTGCATCACACTGCTGACTCATGTTCAGTGCATGGTCTACTAAGTCCCCTAGATCCTTTTCACACATACTGCTGCCAAGACAAGTCTCCCCCATCCTATAATTATGCATTTTTTTCCTACCTAAATGCAGAACTTTACATTTATCCCCATTGAAATTCATTTTATTTGTTTTAGCTCATTTTTCCAGCCTGTCAAGATCATCCTGTATCCTGACACTGTCTCCTACCATATTTGCTATTCCTCCAAATTTAGTATCATCTGCAAATTTAATAAGCATTCCCTCTATTCCTTCATCCAAACCTTTTATAAAGATGCTGAACAAAACAGATCCCAGGACAAATCCTTGAGGCACTCCACTTGTTACTCCTCTTCACGAGGATGAGGAACCATTAACAAGCACTCTTTGGGTGCAATCTGTCAACCAGTTACAGATCCACCTACCAGTAATAGGATCCAAACCATATTTTACCAATTTGTCTACAAGAATATTATGTGGAACCTTATCAAAAGCCTTACTGAAATCAAGATAATCTATGTCTACAGCACAGACTTCTTTTGTTTTAAGAAAAACAGGGTGGACCTCTCCCCATGTTGTTCTGCCTCAGAACATCTCAAATGCAGGTGCTAAAGCCCACGGTGGCTCAGAGGTTAAGATGCTAAGCTGCAGACTGGAAGGTCTGTATTTCAGCAGTTCGATACCCTAGTGCTGTGTGATGGAATGAGCTCCCGTCTTTGGCCCCAGCTCCTGCCAACCTAGCAGTTCGAAAGCAAGAAATTGCAAGTAGATAAAGAAATACCATTTTGGTGGGAAAGTAACAGCATTCCGTGCGCCTCGGTGTTTAGTCATGCCGGCCATATGGCCACAGAAATGTCTTTGGACAGCGCTGGTTCTTCAGCTTGGAAGCGGAGATGAGCACTGCCCCCTAGAGTCAGATTCAACTGACTTTCAAGCAAGATAAACCTTTACCTTTTTATAGATGGAACACTATGTCCGGGGCAGAGATGCTCTGTATTCTTGGTGCTTGGGGAGCAACAGTGGGAGGGCTTCTGGAGTTCTGGCCCAACTGGTGAACCTCCTGATGACACCTGTGTTTTGGCCACTGTGTGACACATAGTGGTGAACTGGATGGGCCATTGGCCTGATCCAGCATGGGTTATGTTTTTATGTTCTAATGTGTGCCATCACTGGATCACTATGATGTACTGCTATTTTTCTATAAGGTGGGGCTCTGTAAGGAGCTACTGGTTAAGGAGATGTGCCTGTCTATGCTTCTGCTAAGTACTGGTCAGGGTCTTCTCCAGTGATTGCTCCCTTCTCATTTGGTGGCCAAAGTATTTGAGCTTCAGCTTCAGTATCTGGCCTTCCAGGGAACAGTCAGGGTTGATTTCTTTTAGG